ACCGCAGGGACGTTGATCTGCCCCCCCCATACCCCTTCCCTCCCATCCCCCTCTCCACTTCCACCACAGATTTACCAGCTGGAGGCAGTTGTATCGGAAATCAGATTGGTATCAGCTGATGTCTCCTTAAATATGGGCTCTCTATTGGTATACCCCTAGAAAACATTTATTTAGATTAGTTTAATCTGATCTAAAAATTACAAGCCTGAACATTCCTTGATCTTAATCATGCTATTATTGTAAGGTGTCACTACAAGGCAGAGTGAGGGTTGCTTCTGTTTTCTGACTGAATTTCTACAGCTCAGTAGGTTTGAACTTATTTAAAATTTAACCCCCAACTCTGAATTCCCTCAGTTTCTACTGCTTGTTTTGAGGATAATTACAACATGTCCTTTTTTGTAATTTAAAGTGAAACACATCGTCTAGTCTCAATCCTTTTAAAACGTGGTTTTTTTGGCCTTGTAATTAAACATAAACATGGTTAGGTTGATTGCAGCATTGTAGTGTAGGTTGCATGTCTTGGTGGTCCAGTTCTGAACTTCACATGATCCTGTTTTGTAATAATCATATGTTCATAGCATCTACACTGAATTACATTGGCTAGGGTCATATGTGGAAAGTTTATGAATTTCATGATAGCTTCTTAAAAGCAGGACTACAAAGCTAAGACTGCTCAGAAATTCTCATTTCAGATCTGGCCCGTCTGCCTAGAATACTGTTATAACTGACATTTGCCAACACCCGATTCTTCACAGATATTTGTAAGGCATGTATTGGATGATGAGAGGAATCTGCAAAATCTTTATTTAGTGGATTGCTGATGTCTTGAATCACAATAATACAGCGTTCCCTTGAAATAAAACCTCTCACATTTTATCCAGTATTACTATAGATGTTCTTATTCATAGACGTCTGATCTTTTCAATTCTACAAGGCTGTTACTTTCCACTTCTTTGTGGTAATGAATTTCATAGAGTAGTATATCTATATTGTACTAGTCTATATATTATATAGAAAGCATTTTAATTTTAATTGTACTGCTTTTCATTTCAGTTAAACCTCCCCTTTTCTCTATTAAGACAAAGGATTAATAAGTACACTAATTTATCTTTAGCCATTTGCTCTTTTGCATGCTGTCTATTTTCTACATACCATAGTTTCTTTCTTGTCTCCTCTTGCAGAATGCTATAGATGTCTTTTCTTGTGGGGTAGGGCAGATTAGTTCTCAGATGATTTACCTCTCAAACTGCAGAAGGAAAAAAAAACCTTTTGTTTTGGAACAGCATAAAGTAGTGCAATTAGTTGCATTAGTTTTAGAGATCATGAGGAGACTAATTATAAGTTATGCTGTGCTACAAAAGTCTCTCTTTTTAAACATCTCCCTACTTCTAACAAGCATTTTGGCAAATTTCATACTAGCACCATATTCCATACTAAAAATAAGTTAGATGAAATAAGTTGTAGGGTTATGCTTTATTGTATTAGTGTCATTGCAGATGACAAAAAAGAAAGTTAAACCTCCCTTGAGATAAAAAAAAACAAAAAAAAAAAAAAAAAAAAAAAAAAACCCCACACACGCAACTTTGACTTATCTGTGTAGTAATTGTTTCTTTTTCCTTTCTCTTGTGTCTCCATTAGCATATAGCACTTTCTATATTGTGGGCTTAATATTATCAATGCAGATACCTTTTGTGGGATTTCAGCCAATTAGAACAAGTGAGCATATGGCAGCTGCAGGTAAGAAAACCAATGTTCTCTTCATATTCTCGGAATACTGAATATATCAAGGAACCCAATACATTTTTAGTAAAATCACCTTTATATGCTGTTAAACCAAAGCATATTGGCTAATTGTAATGGGTGAAGCTTAAAAATGGGAGAGTTTACTGGAAGAGATGCCTGTTTTTAACTGTTAGACAAGAAGTAAAATGTATCTCACCCCTCCTTCCTCACCCACCCGCCTTCTCTCCTGGAGTGCACCAAGCCCCAGGCTAAACGATAACCAGTTCTAGCTTACTAGCTATCACTGAACTGATCAGTTAAATGAATGACTGTTCACATCCCTAATAGATTTGCCACTAAATATAGTCTTGAGGGTGAATCTGATACTTTTCCTTACTAAAACAAGAAAATATGCTCTCTATGCAAACACTTCATTTTTTAATTTTTACATTTTTATTAGTGTGTGATGACACGTTTCCTAAGTGCCAGCATTTTACCATGATTTTTGTTGGTCAGCATTTGGATGCTAACTGGAATTCAATTAAAGATGCACGTGCCAACTATTTAAAATTTGTTTATTAATTAAATAACATACATACAGGAAAAGAATACGTTTATCAAATATTTTGCATTCAACTGTTTTATTTTTAGTTAGTGAATTGAATTAGCTGTTTCTCATTACCAGGTGTTTTCAGATTTTATAAGTGGTAGATTTTCATCCTGTCACCACTCATTTTTATATCATAGACAAGAAACAGAAAACCATAATTTTCTGTTTCTTTTCGTTCCAAAGAAGTGTCTTAATTACAAATGAAGTAGTTATTGGACTGAACTGAACTGGCTGAATAAGCTGAAATCATAGAGAAAATATTTTCTTTCACCTAAAGAGGTTACTGCAGTCAAAAGTTGATTTAGTACTTTAATCTTTGTGTTTTCCAGGTGCTTAACATGTAACTTTTACCATTTCAGTAGTTTGAGCTCATTTATAGTGTAGCAGAAAACTTTAATGTTTTATTTCATTTTAAGGTATTTTAATAATTTAGTTTTAGCCTTAATATACTGGTCTTTATTTCAGTTAATAGGTTTTAAAAAGGAAGTGTGTATTGTTTAAAAATACAAATTCTGATTATGTTCACTTACTCTGATTTTTGCTGAAAGTCTGAAACTGAGCTTAGCTGAAAGAGATGTATATAGGAAAATATTTTCATGTTTTCACTTTTATGTTTATCCTCTTTTGTGGAAAGAAAAAAAAAAAAGTTACTTTCAGTTGTGCCATGCTGTGGTGATTTATGTCTGGAAGATCTGGGTTTGATTTTTGGGCAGAAGCATGGGACGTTAGGCCACATGACAAGCTGAGAAGTAGTTCTCTCACAAATCACTGGCAAAACAGAATTCCTTATTTTACTGAGCATCAGTCATGGCCTGCTATAAAAGATGCCAGCGGTCTTGCTTCTAGCTAGTCTTGTGGATCACTTATTCAATAGGTATATGTATTAGCAGGTTGCTTGCCTGGGAAAGTAAGCATTGGGCTAGCCCTCAGACTTAAGGCCATAGGAAAGGTGACTTTTCCAAAATGGCAACCTAATCAAAGGATTCCAAGTAACATAACAGATGGTATGAGTTACTGTTTGAGGATTTAAACAAGAGCTTCCTTCTTTCTTTAACTAGGCGTTTTTGCACTGCTGCAGGCCTATGCCTTTTTGCAGTATCTGAGAGAGAGACTGACAAAGCAAGAGTTTCAGACCTTGTTCTTCTTGGGTGTGTCATTGGCTGCTGGAATTGTATTTTTGAGTGTCATCTATTTGACATATACAGGTGAGTGGCTTCAAATGAGAAGTGAAGGTATGTCTTCACTTAACCTGGGTGATCAGCACTCAGATTATCCTACAACAGTATTTCTCAACCTTTTTCATCCCACAACACTGGCTGGATGCAGGGGGAGGAGGAAGGGGCGGGTTGGCACCATGCCCCACTGGGAGCCACACACACCCCACCCCCAATCCCATGGCACACCTGTTAATGTCTGACAGCACACCAGCTGGGAAACACTGCCCTACAAAAAGTGTGCTGGCATCCCCAGTGAAGTCATACCACACTATTGTAGAATGTTTATCATTATATTTCCTGAAATACCATCTTCCTCTGACCTAACACTTTGCTACAGTAATTGCATTTTTGCTGCTTTGGTTGCTTTTCTTAATACTTCTGTTGTAAAACTACCCTCAGGAATTGTAACACAAGTGCCAAAAGAGGAGTTGGGGGGGTGGGGGGAGAAGAAGAAGAAAAGAAAGAAAAATGTTGATTTTGAAAGGTTTAGTGCTCAAGATTATAACAAATTTTGTTTCGTTGTTAAAGTTAAATTCTAAGCACGATACTACCGATGTTATCAAGTGCTCATTAATGCTCCTAAAACATGATAGTTACAATCTGCTTTTCATGGGAGCTGTTCTCATTGACTTCAGTGGATGTTTTCAGGTTGATATCCCAGGAAAGTTTCTGGAATTTAGTAGTTAAAACTTCAAGGCATTAGTCATTGTTATAGAAATAAGATTGGTTTCCAAAATATTCATGAATTCTAACCCACTTGCAGAAGTCACAAATGGAAAAAGATAGATCTTAAAGGAAGTAGCCATATAGCTCACCAGCATTGTCGTAGAACTGCATAACTCATAAAAAATAATTTGTAACAGTAAAAAACAACTTGGAAAAAAGTGGCAAATATATAGCTATATTATTTAATGGAAGATGTGACTGAAATAACTGCGTGTCCATTTTTCCTTTAATCTTGTTATAAGACGATTAAAACTCTGAATTAGTTTGTTAGGCTAGAAAGAAGATTTTCCTACTTCTATAAAGTGATATAGATTAATAAGAAACATTTATTTCTTTTTTCACTTCCTCAGTGTAATATTTTATCAAATTCATTTTTTTAAAATAAAATATGGATTTTTTTTTTCCAAGTGGCAAGATATTTTAAATCTCCAGTGCATCCCTTTCATTTTGTTCTAAAACTGTTAAAAAACACTTAAACTCAGTTTGCTGTCAAGGACTAAGTAAACACTTTCCTATGAGTTCCATTTTTTTTTTTTTTTTGGACACCCTGCTTTACAAGCTGATTTCTTTTGACTTTTTTCCTGGGAATGCAGCATAATTACAACTGCATTTTTTGGCAACTGACGGCTGTGGGCATCAGTTTTGAACCTATCCAGTTCAGTGCAGTACTGAGGATTCAGTCCATGGGAGCCATTGAATTGTTAATGGACTTGGGGCTTTGGCTGCAAGCACTCTCCCTGTGCTGATATGGGGGGGACACACTGACTGCGAGCCTCTGCTTTCTTGGACAGGTGGCAGCCAGGCTCTGTCTAGTGTAGGGGTCAGCAACTTTTTAGCCAGAGTGCCAAAAACACCCACAACTTCAACTTGGAAGATGTTGGCATGTCAGGGGCTGATGGCAGGAGAGCTGCAGCAAGCCCAATCCTTGTCGTCACAGCTCGGTCTCAGCTGCTCCCCCGCCATCTGCCCCAAGGTGTACGTGTCAAGAAAAATGCCTGCTATGGCACATGTGCTGGGGGCTGCTGACCCCTGATTTAGTGCCTGCCCACCTCTGACCCAGAGTGGGTCATTTTGGTGTTCAGTTGGAAAAGTTTGCCTATTCCTACTTTAATCTTCCAGCTATGTCTGAAGATTGAGTCTCCTTGTAAAAGGATTATAAAATTATTTCTGTACTACAGGTACACCAATCCCCAGGCATAAACTTGTGTACCTGTAGTACAGAAATAATTTTATAGTTTAAAAGTGTCTTTAAAAATCCAAGTATTACTACAATTAGTGTGTGCTAACATCTTAAGGAACAGCAAAAAACAAACAAAAACAGTTTAATTAAATACCTAAGCATTTTTCCCCCCTTGCCCTTTTCAGGTTACATTGCTCCATGGAGTGGCAGGTTTTATTCATTGTGGGACACAGGGTAAGTAAGGATACCTGAATTAATGCTTAATTATCTGTTGAAAGAAATAAACCATTTCTTCTTCCCACCCCAAAATAAAAATCATTGATTCAGTCAAGGAAAGCCAATGCATTTTCTACAAGCTACCTAAGGAGACTTTACTGTAAAGTTCCTTTATAACGTGACCATTGTAGTTAAAGTAGTGCAGGTTCTTTTTATCTATTAAATATTATTTTATTTCTATCTATATCTATTATTTTATCTTTCTTTTATTCTGTGAAGTTTTCATAGCAAGTAGGTTGCATCAAATTTGTATGAATCCTTAAAAGCAACTATTACATGCACAGCTATGCTCTTAGCAAATGGTATTGCTGTTATTTATATAAATTCCCAGGCGGTCTGGGAATAAATCCTGTTTCTTGGGTACAATGTAACTATAAAGTTAAGTTTAGTCCTTAATTTGTATGTAGTATATCAAAACAGTGAATTAAATCAAGGGCATTTCTAAGGGTATGGACAAGGATACCACCTGAAGCACTTTAGAGTGAGTGAACAGAAGTACATGCTTTCTGAAGCACTCCCAAAAAAAGTGGTGGACATCCTCAAAAGTAACCCTGCAAAACAATTCCTATTTAGTAATTCATTTGAAAGTGGTTCTTGTTACATGCATGCTCTACTAACAGTGGGTGGACAGTCATTCCAGCATCCCATAGTGCTCTTGAAAAGAGAAAAAAAAAGAAGTACATGGCAGACTCTCTGGCCCCAGACAGATATCTCTCTCATGAGTTGTATGCAAATATTGCATGACAAATTACAACATGCCAAATGCTAAACCAGCTGCTCGCTGTGGGATTTTGGGGGGGGGGGGGAAATAATGTAGGCTGGCCCCCAAAAAGTTGCTCATTTTCAATTTTATGTATAGAAGTATCCTGCAGTAGTTTTAATGCTTAGCCATTTGGCATGCTAAGATTACCAAGTACCAAGCCATGTCTAGCCTAGGAGTTAATTACTCAAAAGCACAGAGATCAGTTCCACAGGGAGCTGAGTATCTGGAAGGATCTGGTGTCAGAATTGGATTTAGAAGCCATTGGCCAAGTCAGGACAAGCCAAGGTCAGAAGCTGAAGTCAGGGACAAGGTAAGCAATGGGTTAACCAGGATCAGAAGCAAAAAGCCAGAGCTGAAGGTCAAACCAGAATCACAAGCAGGGAACCAGAATCAGGGAATGCCAAGGGTCTTACCAGAGTCAATACCAGAAGACCAGCAGGGAAGTACACAGGAGGTCAGAAGTGATAACTGTTTGCCTTTGCCTGAACAAGAATGCTGCGGGCTGCCTGGTTCTGGCTTTTAAGGGCTGGAGCAGGTGGAGCCTACTGTGTATGGCTTCAGGGGATTGGCTGCTCTGACTGTCTCTCCCAGCCCAGTTGGGACCAAGGCATAGCTCTGGGCTTGCTGCAGGTGGTGCCTGTTTAGGAGCTGACTTACCCTGATCTCTTAGTTGGGACCAGCTGGGTTCAGGTTTCTAGCCTAGTCTCATTGCAAAGATTGCATTTGTTGCATGTTCTTCGTATCATAAAGAAACATTTGCCTGGAGCCCCTGTGACCACTGCCTTTGTGTGCTCTGCCTCTGTTCTCCCAAAGTGCTCTCCTCTTGCCCTTCCCCCTCTTCACACCAAAAATGGGAGAGAGCCTGGAACTAGAAGACCAGAGGCCCTGGGCCTCTCCTGATTCCAGCAGGGGTAGGGAGGGCACTCCAAGAGAGTAGAGGCAAAACGCACAGAATAGCTGATAGTTAGGATGGTGAGAGCAGAGCAGAGCTGCAGAATTCAGCAGCCCCCTATCATTGTCCCCTGGCTGAGAAGTAAGTTGCTGCAAACAGCCACGGCGGATCTGAAGTGCTCAAGTCAGGAGGTGCTTCAGGGGGCTGTTTCTCTATCTTCAGCTGAGGTGCTCTATTTTTTAAGTTCTTCAAGTTGAAGCTGCATTTGAAGCATTTCAAATGTTACACCTAAGTGAACCTTGTATGCCAAAAAAAAACCCCTAGAACTCCCTGCAACAGACTTTTGGTAGAACCATGATTTTAACTTCAAGAGCTGAAGACACTGAAATTCAAGCTACCTATAACTTTGGTTTTCCCAAAATCATTACTCCAGCTACATTTTACTTTTAAAATGAGTCAAGTTGTGTTAAACCCATAAAAATAGAACTGATGTCAATAGAAGTATCCTGAAGTTCAAATGAAGAACAGTAATTGCTGTGTCCATAAGTAGAATGAACTTTCCACTTACATAGCCTATATTAGCCTTACATAGCCCATATTAGAAAATTGTCCTGTGTTAAAACACATGAACATGATTTTAAGCACAATTTTGTTCTCAGTACAGACAAAGACTAAGTTTGATAACTTTTCTAGTGTTTAGCCCTAGAGTTGATCACAAATATTTGATGTTTAATATTAAATGCAATTTATCCTTGTCTGCACAGTGTTCTTATCATGGTAGTAGTCGGTGGTGCTCAATCGTTGGGCTCTACGGGCTAGATAAGTGGTGTGGGACCTGTCTGTGGGTCAGATCCTTCACAGGGTTAGCATGCAGGATTGGGCCCTGCATGCCCAGACTGGACCCCATGCACCTTGATCTGGCCCTCGGCCGCCCCAGCCCTGCATAATTTGAAATGCTTCTAGCACGCAAGGCCATGCTATCCAGTCTGCCAGGCTCCTCACAAGTCCAGGAATTGACCAGCAGTGGACAGCAATTAACGTTGCCACCACTCTTCCACTGCCAACTTTGCAAACTGGTGGGGAATGTGGCAGGCTGGATCTGGCCCATAGGCTAGGGTTGAGCACTCCTGGTATTAGTGATTACGTAGTTTCCAGTTGTAGGATGTTTCAGTGACCTCAAGGATGCAGTTGCTGGCATTCTTGAGTAGTTTGCTTATGATTAAGGTTGGCCCTGGTTACCTAACCTCTCAGCTTCATTCCCTGCGATAATGGAAATAAATTGAAACACTTTTTGAAACCATTAGCATTGAGGACTTAAGGAGATGTGTTGCAGTCAGTCCATCTCAGATGAATTACACATTTCTAAAATCTGAAGGAAAAAAAAAGCGCTTTGTAAGGCTACGTGAGTATGTGATTCTTGCTTAGTATTTGGCCAGGGTGACAAAGTCAAATATTAAATAATATGGACTATCATAGAAACACTCCTTTCATATTGAGGTTTACCAAAAAAGCCTGTCCCAACTATCTTCTGAATACCATCAGATCTAAGTCCAGTATGTGTGCATAAAAAAAACTGCTTCAGATTTTTGTTTAATAGAATCTTAACATTTTAATTTGAAATGCTTCTTTTAAATTTACTTCAAAACTCATAATGTATGCAGTTTTGCCAAGTTCACCTTCAAAATAATTTGAACTGAATTTTTTTTAAACAAGGTATGCGAAAATTCACATCCCGATCATTGCCTCTGTGTCAGAGCATCAGCCTACAACATGGGTTTCCTTCTTTTTTGATCTGCATATTCTCGTGTGTACTTTTCCAGCAGGGCTGTGGTTCTGTATCAAAAACATCAATGACGAAAGAGTCTTTGGTAAGAGAATTCATTTAAAAATTGCTGTGTAGAATCTTGTCTTCATGTATGGTCTGCTTTCTGTTCACATAATGCAAGTATACATTCCTTACTAAAAGAAGGCTTTAAAACTTTGTTAAAGATGTGTTTGTAAAGCTTGCTGTTACCAAGTAATATTCCACACAGTTTACTAATATGCAATTTATAGCAAACAAACTTATTTTTCAAAAGATAGGGTTGAAAATATTTCTTATCAATATTCTGCTTAGCAGCTGCAATGCTGGTATAACATTAAATGATCTCTCAAAGCATCAATAAAATTCTGCATAGCACCAGGAGCAACAATATAGCCTCGTTACATCTAGTACCCATGGGACGTGGAGAAAAGCTTGTTAAAAGTAGGTGTTTACTATAATAGGGTTAGTCAATTTGCTGCATTCTAATAATGAAAAAATAGGTTCCTGGTTTCAGGATTGTTTAAAAGCATGGGGTTGTTATAAATAGGGTTTGTCATACAGACTTTTATGCCCAGAGCCAGGAGCCAAGGTTACTTTTTAAGCCACCCCTGCACTTCTACATCTGTGGGTTGTTCCCAGGGCGAGAGAAGCCGGCCGACAGTTATAGCGGTCTCCTACAGTTGTTGATGGGTTGAAGCACTGTCTGAAATGTCAGCTGTGTTGCTTGCTGTGACCCTGGAACACTATGTACTTTAAGAGCTTTTAAGCTGTCCTTTAAAGACAACCTTATGCCTTTGTCTTTCAGTGTCTTCACCAAGAAAATTCTTCCCTAGGCTTAGCTAGGGCATTTAGGGTCCCAGTACTATTTTAAATCTTCAATTCAGCATAAAGGGGCAAAGAATCTTTACTGCTCACCTATAAATACTGGCCAGACTTGCATTATGTCTTTTGTTAATGAACTGGAGTATTTCCAGATTTAATTAGTTAAGTTCTAAGATAATTTCCATTACTAATCTTTTCCATAATAGTGATTTGTTAGCTTATAGCATGCTCCACATGGGTTGAAAATGTTCTGTCATATGATTTTTATGACTTCTATCTACAGAGATGATATTTTCCCAAGAAAAATAGTATTATAAAATTATTCAGTAATTTTTGTGTAACCATCGGAGGGGGCAGGGAATGTCAGCTCTCAGTGTTCCAAGGACACTTCCTTTAGAATAGTACTGGGAAAGCCATTGGAAGTGGTTTAACATGTACATTTGGAATTGTGATGTGGACAAGTCCCCCATTGTTTGCACATCTCAAAGTAATGGTATACGCCATGATTTAAATGATAGATGTATATATATATATATATATATATATATATATATATCTATATGCATATACATATGCACACACACACTAATTTAGACATGTTGTATAAGTACTTCCTTTGGTTTTTTAAAAAAATACTCAAGAATTGTTCTAATGTATTTTTATCAAACAGAATTACAGAGAAATACATTTTTTCCATCAGCACTGTTAAGTGTGCTTTCTTGGAAAATAAATTGTTAGTGAAATGCAGTAGATTACCAATACATATATAAACTGGGCTATATTCTCAGCAAGTCTGCCCAGCTACATTTTAAGAAGCCTTTTGGGCTTAGAAGTGATGCATTTGATTGCACCACATCTCTAAACTATTCAGTGTTTATGAAACTTAATACGATGCATGCTTTAAACATGATCCATACACTGTGATTCTTCTAGTCCACTTTAGAAGTCATATTTATTTCTGTGACTAATTTTATAATTGCTATATAAATCTTTTGCTATCTCCTTTCAAGAATAATTGAACACTTTCTGAGTGTCATTAGTGAATTTGTGTCTCTGCAGTTGCTCTATATGCAATCAGTGCTGTTTACTTTGCTGGTGTGATGGTTCGTTTGATGTTGACTTTGACTCCAGTGGTCTGTATGCTATCAGCAATTGCTTTCTCCAATGTTTTTGAGCACTATTTGGGTGATGATATGAAGAGGGAAAATCCACCAGTAGAAGACAGCAGTGATGAGGATGACAAAAGAAACCCAGGCAACCTGTATGACAAGGTGAGCTCCACCTGCCCTTCTCCCCTCACCCCAAAAAAGAGTTTAGTGTGGATAGATCAACAAATTACAGAGCTGGAAAGGCAACTTAGTTTGCATCAGCTGCTCTGTGGTAATTGTTTTTATATATTCACTTCTGTCGTGTGGTAAGGGGAGGCTAAACTTCAGTAACTTAGCTGTGATTCATTCAAGGCTGCCCCAGTTTAGCATACCATTGCTGCAGGACAGGAGTGGACTCGCACAGTTACCACAGAGCAGCTGATGCATGGCAAGTTGTACTCCTCGCCACTTAACTTGGTATAATTTGTTTGTCCATCCATATATTGAAGCATTGCTGATGTTTTATGATCTTATTATATTAGTATAAAAAAGCAGAAGAGTCTGAGGTACAACAGTCTCATTTTCCCATGCTGAAGTCAAGATTGCTATAGCTTGTTAAAGCACTATAAAAAGGATATAATGCCATGTGGATTTGTTGATCCATGGGTGAAAAGCCCTTTTCCAGGGATCAGCAACCTTTTCCTGCTGCTTGCAACCTGGCCTGTGCTTGCGGGCCTCAAATCTCCAGCCCCCAGAGCACCCAATTTGCCTGTGCTTGATCTCACCACCATTCTCCATCTCCTGTGGCAGTGAAAACCTTTGCAGGCTGAACCCAATCTCTTCTGCGAACTGGATCCAGTTTGTTGGAAGGTGCCAATTTCTGTCTTATTCAAACCTCTGAAGTGTTTTTGAAGCATTACACTTAAATGTGCAAGTTTAAATGAAACACAGTAGATGACTCTTCATCCATTTTAACTCTGATCCCTTGCAACTTACAGAAGGATTTAAACCTAAAAATAAAGCTAGTGGGTTTTTAATAGTGTGACACAACCATTTGTTTTTCTGGAGAAGCACAGGCCTGAAATAAAAAGTGGTAGGTCAGAACAGATAAGCAGAGGAGCTTGTATCCGCCTTCATGTTCTGGCTTAGTACGCACACTTAAGTTCAGTCAGAGACAGAAATATAATTGGAGGGTAGGCTTGCATTCCTCCTCCAACTGTTTTTAAGAAGCACTGTGCATGTCAGAGCAGAGACTATTTTACATGCTATTTTTAAAGATATTTTATAAAAATACCATTAAAAGCCTCTGTATCATTGTCATCAAATAATTTACTATTAAACACCTAGGGGGGAGACCCACCTCCTCCAGTAACATGCATTGATATACTGAAAATAATTGTGCTTTAAATAAATGGCTCTTTCCCTCTGTTCAACAGCTGCCGCAGTTACTTTTCTCTAACCTCATATGGGCCTGAGGAAATTGGTCCTTGTTCAGTGGTAGATAGTTGTGCATTATCATTAAGACCAGTTGCACAGTTCTGTATTTTTTTCACCTGTATATATTAGAACCTCAGGGGACTCTTGTGGGGGGACAGGATGCCATCTGAGCATCCTAAGAGCACATTTGTACATCTTCTCTAACATCCTGATGCATAGTCTGTTGCAGTCGGTGGAAATTCTCCCACTGACTTCAGTTCGCCTTGTATAAGTACCTGAATCTTTAGAGGGAAAGATTAACTATAAATGTTATAGTTTCACTGCTCTCCCACTGTCTGTCCAAGGGAGTCTTGACTAAATGGATGCTGGCTGCAGCTCAAACTTGGAAAGACCAACACTGCTTGTTAGTTTAAGGGGGAAAACACTTATAGGAATTTGACATTTATTCTTCTGCACTATAGTAAAGATTGTGTTTTATAGAAAGATCTTGTTCATAAGCCTCATGGCCTCTTCTTTTGTTGGAGGTAAATGGCAAAGAACAGTTTTTATGGTTCTGGTTTACTCCATTTTGTGACATGGGAGGTTGGCTTTCTTCTCTTCATAGTTTTTCTTCTTGCAGCAAATATTCCAGTTCTTCCTCCCACTCAACCCTGCCCCAGAAACGCATTCAGGCTTCTCCTCAGACATAACCAAGCGTGTTCAGTGTAGAATTCAGAAATCCATATTCTGCATATCGGTAAAAACTGACTATAAGAAAAAATGTCTCAAACCTCTCCTTAATAAAAAGTTATTTTTGTAATTCTTTTTAAATATAGAGGTCTTTTTCACCACTTATTTTTGCCCGGCACTGAAGCATTGCATCAGCCCAGACTCTTAGACCTTTGTGATATAAGCACTTTCTGCTAATAAGGAAGAATCCATATTTACATGTTGCTGGCAAACAATTCAATCTGGGTTGTTAGTTGCCTGATACTGTGGGATAGGGGTGAAGTGAAAGCTGTCAGATTCGTCGACATTGATGAAAATATTTTCAAATTTTAAATGCCATAACAGTTCAACTTGTTCTTATTCAGGCAGGTAAAGTGAGAAAACATGTATCTGAACAGGAAAAAACAGAAGAAGGACTGGGTCCCAATATTAAAAGCATTGTTACAATGCTGATGCTCATGTTATTGATGATGTTTGCTGTCCACTGCACCTGGGTAACCAGCAATGCGTACTCCAGCCCTAGTGTGGTTCTGGCCTCATACAATCATGATGGGTAAGAAAATGCTCCCTATTTAAAGGCAGTTCATAAAAGAATTGTATCTTGAGTTGTTTTGCTTTCCACTTAAAAATTCGGTAACCTTAGAAGTTTGACTTAACCAATTTCTGACTACTCTAGCATCTCAAAAGGATCTTTCGTACATTTCCAAGCAGGAGTTATTTTGTTTAAATACATCCTCTGAGGTTAAAAAAAACCCATTCTTTGCTGAATTCTAAGCTAAAAACACATTGTACGTTTGTTTACAAATAAGGCCTTCCTAAAAAAAAAAAAAAGTGAAAGTACTCGCTATTAATCCAAGCATAGATTAATGGCTTGAATGTACTGTTGAAAATACTGTTTTTAACTTCTGCAGAAGTTGCTGGCTTTCAAGTTGAAGAACTACGAGCAGATCTAACCTCTGAGTGCAGGTTGCCAACAAACTTACTGTAGGGAATTGTATGAAAATTGATTTGAGAGTCTGACTTAGTCCTCATACACACCTTGATCCTCCTGTGAGACATGCTGCTTTCCCAGGAGAAACCACAAGTGTACAGATGTTCAGACTTTTTCTCCCACAGTAAAATGACCACTTCAGGAGAAAAAGAACCTGGAAACAAGTAGGATTAAATGTCTGTGAATGTCTGTACATGCTGTTAGTGTGGTGATATGTTAAATCTCCTTAAAGCAGTTTAATGTTGCTAACAAGCTTAATTATTAAACTAACTTGATGCTTTTATTTCAGCACTCGGAACATTCTTGATGATTTTAGAGAAGCCTACTACTGGCTAAGACAAAACACAGATGAACATGCCAGAGTAATGTCTTGGTGGGACTATGGCTACCAGATAGCCGGAATGGCTAATCGGACTACGTTAGTCGATAATAATACCTGGAACAACAGCCACATAGCCCTGGTAAGGATGGTGATATTATGTATAGATTTTCCTCGCTTTGTGCTGTACATGCGTTCCTGGAAAACAGCACATAACTCAAAATCGTGTAAAGGGAACCCACTTTACAATGTAACAAATAGGGATGTGTTCCAAGACCTCAACTGTTCTGACCCCCCCACCCACCCACCCACCCACCCAGACCCATTTCTAGCACATTTACATGACAATTTTGGTACTCACCAACAGCAGACAGTACACACAAGCACAGGGCACTATCATAATGGGGGTGACAGCTAAAGAAACACGTGTCACAAACAACGAGCGAGGAGCACAGATCTACACAGGAAACTATTTTGGTGCGCATCACTCCCACAATGCACCACACCAGTTGCATAAGAGTGAATTTACCTCGCATAAAACAAATTTTTGTTATAAAGAGGGTCATCACATAAGAGCAAATTCGCACATACAGAACTTGCTTAAAGCAAGGGAAAATTATACTCAGCGGTGAAAACATGAAAGCAATTGACACTGTTACTGAGCACTAAGACAGTGAACAGGATAATCTTCAATCCTAGTTTCATTTCACCTCCTTCCCTCCCCCCACCAAAAAAATTTTTAAGTACAGATTAAACTGAGAAGGCTGTGCATCAAAATTATCTACAGATGTAAATTTTTAGATATCTAAATTTGAAGCTCTCCCACAACGCTAGTCCTTGTATCTACTAGGAAGGATGAAAACATTTCCCTCATTGTTCTGTGAGTTGGTGGGTTTCCCATTGTAAGATCCTCTAGCTGTTTGGTCTCAAGTTGTCTGTTTCAGACATGGTGTTATGATACAGTCTTTACATGATCACATACATTTTTTTCCTCAGCCCCCTGCTTCATTCAGTGAACACCATGGGTGCAGTTTGCAGTAGGGTGGCATAGTGAAGGAGGCTTTTGTCTGTACAGCTACTATAAGGAAGGAGGTAGAAAATTATAAATTATATAAAACAGGGCTGGAAGGGACCACAGAAGATAATCTAGTCAAGACAGGCTTAAGAGAGATCATCCAGAACCATCCTAGATGAGTATTTGTCTAATTTGCACTTAAAAAAATATCACAAATGCAAACCCAGCAGCTCCTCTAGATATGCTTTGAAGAGACTAACTACCCTCATAACCAACTTAAATTTCCCTAAATGCAGTTTTAGACCTTTGTTCCCTGCTGACACAAAATAATGTATTACCGTCCTCTGTATACCACCCATCCTCAGGTATTTGAGGACTATTTATTTTTATCCCCCTAAGTCTTTTCTCCTTTAACCCAAATAACCCCATTTTTTCGGCCTTTCTTTGTAAATTATGTTTCCCAGACTTCTAGTCATTTTTGTTGCTCCCTGCTGGACTCGCAAATTGTAATTTGTCCATGTCTTTCTACAAGTACAGGACCCATAATTTGACTGTTCTCCAAGTGAGGCCTCACTAGTGCCAAAGAGTGAACAAATCGCTTCCTTTAATTTGCAAGCAACACGCCTGTTAATCCAGCTCAGTATATATAGTATTGGCTTTTTTTCAAATGAGAGCACTCTTGGCTCATATTCATCTTATGGTCCACTATAACTCGCATGTCCTTTTCTGCAGCCTAGCCAGTGATTCCCCAGTCTGTCTGCAGTAGCCCCATCCCAAACTCAAGATATTGCATTTGTCCTTGCTAATTTTGGACCATTTTTCCAATTTATCAAGGTAATTCTGAATCCTAATCCTACCCTCCACCCAGTCTGATGTCATCTGTAAATTTGCTACGTGTGCAGTCAGTTACATCCACGAGATGCCTCTCCATTATTAATGCATATATTGCACAATGCTGGACTGAGGTCAGACCCTCCCCTCTGTATCTCCTCCAATTAGACATTGAGGCTAGGGACAGAAATTAAACAAACTGGTGTTAAGTGATCAGAAACCAGTTCAAATCTGTAACAACAGAAGGTCAATACACATAAACCTCCTTCAAAATGTCTCATACTTCCAGTAGCCAGTCTAGTGCACCTGCAGAGGCTGATCTTAGTCTGACCTGTGGAGAAATGTAGCTCTTCCATTCTGGCACTGGCAGCATTTCCTATTCTGCAGTAACCATTCTACCCAAGACAACACACATCTGGAATCATTGCTTTTTCCATTCTGGCAATGGGCGTCCTGCTAGACAGCCTAATGTGCTTCTGTCAGGCTAGGATCCAACTAGTCTCACTCTGATTAGAGGCATCCTATTAGAATCCAGTTCACTGGGAAAAGGTGTCTACTAGTGGACCTGACAAAGCAGCACTGACTTCCTTGTAAAGAGCGAGGACTAGTGATGATAGTGCTTGTCCTGTATGCTTGTGAGACCTGGGTTTTAGGCCCACCTCAGGGAGCATTTGAACTTGTCTTTTTGTCCGGGACAATGCTGTAAGCACTAGGCCATGGACTAAGCAAAACTGAGAGCATCCTGAGCAATACATGCAGAAGATTGTGGCTGTTTGGCCCTTTAAAGCCCTCGCATGGGAGCACAAGATGGCCGAGAGTAAATGTGCAGCCCCTACAAATCCTGCTGTTTGAAAGGCTTTCAGCACGTGCACACCCTTACACACTCGCATTCTGTTCTATTTTGTGGTCATTGCAGGATTTAGATTCCATGAATTAAATGATGAGGGGGCACAAAGAAACATTGAATCTACCCATTCGGTGAATGAGATGTTTATTAAAATCTGATTATGTATGTAAAGACTGTATAATAAGTTAAAGTTGCTAGGTCATTTCCTGTTTTTAAGGCGTTGCAGCCTTAATATTTTTCTATGAACTTTTCTGGATGTAGGTCTATAAAGCAGTTGTACCTGAGAACACTATTTGCCTCAGTGATGTCTTGCTGTACTTCAAACGTCAACAGCTCAACAGTAAATGAAAGTACTGCAGTGATGCAAGTGGTGACCTCTTAAGTGCCTCTCATCTCCATATTTGCACTCTTTCTTGAGAAATTATAAGAAATAACTATTACATGATATATACCATATGTTCTTGCATACAACATGCCCTGGAATACAATGTGCATCTTGTTTTTGAAAGGCAGAATGAAGAAAAAAGCTACTTCCTTGTAGTAATTGAGTAACAGCAACTGGGAAGCCAAGCTTGCTCATTGTTTTGCTTCTTGCAAGTTGCATGCAGATTTTTATTTCATATTTGCCCATAGCTAGCAAAAACTTCTTACCATATTTCTTGCATAAAATACACACTTACATTTCCAGAAACTTTTTTTTGAGGAGGAAGTGTGTGTTGTATGTGAGAAAATATGGCTAGAGTTAAAACTTTGTTTCTTCCACACACTCATATGCTACATTTTGACTAAAATGTTGTCTCTAGTGTTTACAAGATCCTTGTTTTTTTGTTTGTTTCCACACTGTAAATTTAGTACGGATGATATACACAATCTTCAGCCTAGGCAGCAGTAACTCCGTAGCTATTCAGGGACATTAAAGCCAAGCAAACTAAAAAATAGAAAATTAAATAGTTATCTATTTAATAATTCCTTTTCAAGGTAGGCTACGCCTACTGTTTTTAAAAGGCTCCTATTGTGTATTGGGGCCACCTGTCAAACCATGCTTGAACTGTAGCTGGAAGAACTTGTCATGACAGAAGAAAAGATCTAACCAGGCAATTGTCCTGCAAACTCAAAAGCTCTGTTCAATATACATCAACTGCTCTTCAGAAAAAGGAATTACTTCTGTATGCGTAGAGCACTTTAGTTTGTAAAGCAATAAGTGAGCAACGTCCTTATTTTCTCCAAAAGTAAATGAAATTTGCGTGTGTGGTAAAAGCATGCTTTCCCTCAGCTGAACAGCTGGTCCAAAACCACTGTAGCTCTACTGAAGTCAGTGGAGCGCTAATATTTGGACCAGCTGGCCCTGTAGGCAGTTTTACAAATACTAAGATATTTTTGCCTGCAATGTTGTAGGTGGGAAAGGCAATGTCATCAAATGAAACAGCAGCATATGAAATCATGAGGAGTCTGGATGTGGATTATGTTTTAATTATTTTTGGTGGTGTGATCGGCTACTCTGGTGATGATATTAACAAGTTCTTGTGGATGGTGAGGATAGCGGAGGGAGAGCATCCCAAAGATATCCGGGTAAGTAGGGCTGTTAACAATATAAGCAGTGTGTTCCTAGCAGAATAAATTTGTTTGATCTATGGTTTGCTACCATATGGGAGTCTTATCTTTTTAATTAAACCAGCACTCTATTAGTGTGAGCTTAATACAAAGAGAAAAAAAGTATAATTTTTTGAGAGAATGTGTTAATTCATATGGTTTCAAGGGCTCTTTGCATTAGGATAGCAGTGCATCAGTTCATTGTCTTTCAGTATACATGGTTTTGAAGAGTTAGTCATTTCAAAATATCATGTTGCTGTGATACTGAAAAGTACAGGATATCTACATTGTGGAAGTATTTGACTACTATAGGGCAGAGAAGGGAATGTCTCTCTGATCTAAAACAAAATTATAAATTCTCCAGTCTTTGAATACTGTGCAAGAAGGCAAGCAAGCATTCAAAGCTTTTATAAGACTATCTTACAGAAACACTGAAGTGAGCAGATGCAAGGCATCAATCTGCTTGGTAATTAAAATTCTGCCCTGCACCAATGGACAAGAGCTGCATACTTTCGCTTGGCTACCTATTGTTTTACTCGGCTTACAATTAACTCTCCTAAACGTGTGATTGTGCATTTGAGGCACAGCACACTTATGAAGTTTATTGGGTACACCATCATATTTACTCCGAGGATAATTGTTTGAGTGACTGAAGCAGAAAATACTCTGTATATGCCTAAATTACACATTTTCGTATGATCAGTGTATCAGTATATTTTTCAAAGATCTGTTTTCTGTATAAGAGCTTGGTAAAAGAAACTCTCATCTATACCTGCATACAACACATGGATTTAGTAAGATTAATCTAGCTAAGGAGAGGGTGCAGGGGAAGGGGCATATTTTGATACAAGACAGAGTACAGGATAGCTACTGAAATGCTCCTGTGTGGGTCATACAACAGACTTAAAAACAATAAATAAAAGGCTGGCCTAAATGCCTGTTCTTAGCTTACATACTATGGTAGACCAGCTACAACGGCACATATTTAAGTAAAACTGATGACCCACAACCTTTGTGCCTTTACTTATAGCAGAGAGCACTGAGCATTGCTTTCTGTTTCAAGATCAACTTGAGCTTGTCTGGCATGTAGAAGTCAGTTCATCCACTGTATGAAGTTCATCACTTTGACTCCTAAGGCATCTATACATGCGACAGACCTCTGCTCCGACGCATGCTAATTAGCACATGTTGGAGCAGACTTGATTAAATCGAACAAGCTTTCGTTAAAAATTTTGAAGCACAGGATGCCGAATACGCATGATGCTGTGGGCATTTTAATTAGAGCAGCTCCACCTCTGAGCACATGCATACACGACAGAGGGAATAAAGTGACTTCATGTGCCTTATTACCAACTGACCCGTGTGCCTTTCTTCAGGAAAGCGACTACTTTACTCCCCAAGGAGAGTTCCGTGTAGACAAGGCAGGTTCTCCAACCTTACTGAACTGCCTCATGTATAAAATGTCCTATTACAGATTTGGAGAGATGCAGGTGAGTGGAATTTTTTTTACTTTACTGAATTTGAATTCAAAACAAGGCTAAGGAAATTGCTGATGTCATGATGTTTGGGGGTGGGACATGTGTGAGTTGACAGCTGTCATTCTGCTACTGCAGTGCTAAGAATTGTATTTATTTTAATTTGCAAAACTATTAGGGGTGTGTGAAACGGGCTGTATTCAATTTGGATTTAGCCTGAATTGGGGACAGTGATTTGATTAGTTGATTTGGATCACTGTCTCAATTCGATTCAGCCGAATCTGAAGATTCAATGCTGATTCAGAGAATCAGTGATTCGGCCATAGACACAGCTTTAAATGTTTTTTCTACGTACCTCGAGGTACCAGGCGCGGCTTGTGAATGCTGCGATGCTGGGGCGGATGGAGCATCCCACAGGAGCGCGGTGTGGGGCCCCCGCATGCTTGGCGGCACACCCAGAAGTGGATGGGAAGTGCTTCTGGTCCACTTCTGGGTCTGCTGCTGAGCGTGCGAGGACCCCTCCTCCCCCACTTCCATGGGATGCTGCATCTGCCCCAGCATCGCAGCATTCATGAGCCGCCTTGAGGTATGTAGAAAAAAGATTTAAAGCTGTGTCTGTCTGAATCGCCAAATCTTTATGAGGGCTCCAATTAGATTAGGAGAGATTAAAGGGTCTCCTGATTCAATTTGGACTCGGAGATTCAGCCGCCAAATCAAATCAGCAACCAAAGCTTCACACAGCCCTAAAAACTATCATCAGCCTTTTGCAGAAAGCCATTGCCACAAACTCGGGTCCATAATCTTTTATTTGCTCTAGCAGCACTAGGCTGTTGACTTGTATTTGGCTCAGTTTTGCTGCTGTGGCTTTGGGCATCATCGGTTACCTCAGGCAGACTTTCAGGGCACCTGTGCTGGAGCATGGCAATTGCTGTGCTCCAGCATCCCGTACTTAAAAATGGTGGCGGAGGCACTTGGCCTAAAGCTTGTCAAATAAGATTTAGTTGAAGTACTCCCACTGCCATTTTTAAGCACAGTGATGCTGATACAAGGCACAGTGATGCTTTGAGAGCTACTCTAAAGAGCCGTCCCTTCCTTATCCCTGGAGCACGTGTAAAAAGTGCCCTTGAATTCCATGGTGCATTATGAGCAGTTAACTTGCTAAAAAGTTGCACTTCAAGTTAGTCTTTTTATGCTGTAATTTTTCGTGTGTGTGAAACTGCATTTAAATATCTGCTTATTTTGGCACAAGCCAATTCACTGATCGCTATGCTAGCATGCGCATGTAGTAAAGATTATATTGGCAACATACAAAGACCTAAGGACAGTACCCAACTCAAAGGTATTATATTGATAGACCTCATTGAGATGGCATTTGTCATGAACAAAGGTTTTCCATGTATGGATAAATGGCAGTGATCTTAACTGTTTGTTCTTGCTTGCTTGTTCTACTCCTATTCCCCCCCGCCCCCTCCAGCCCCAACCCTTACCTGCCACTTTCCTTGACGTTTCTAAAACTTTCTTTTATATTCCCCTCTGGAAGACCCTTTCCATTTTTCATACCCAGCACCAAATGTACTTTTGTGGGTATGACTCAGTTCATCAGTGGAGCTTATACTTGCTTAACACCAAAAGAAAATTTAGTCTATACAGATGAGGAATGCTGGACACACACAGGTTCATTCTTGCATGCAGCACTTTACTGTAAAGAGATGAGAGAGGTGATCCATGTTTTCAAGATACTGCAAGCTTTTGGCATTAAACATTCATTTCTGAACAAAGAACCTGAGACTCTACCCTAATACTTCCTTACAGCATATGGCCCAACTGATGCACGCAAGTAGAAGTCATATTTGGATCTCTTTCCTTTCCAGCTGTTGAAGAAATTGGATTGCAAGCACTCCTTAAAGCTGTCAGTTTAAGATTTTTCTGAGAAGTAATTCATGTTGCAAAAAAACTAGTTTTGTTTTCTGCTAAAGGTCTTTAGAAACAGCTGAGGAAAAGTGTAGCACTGCTGAGTGTGCACTGTTGCATTCCATGTTTCTCCCAACCTCAAAGTAACGTGCAACTTTAATTTTATAGCTGGATTTTCGGACACCTCCAGGATTTGATCGCACTCGCAATGCTGAGATTGGCAACAAGGACATTAAATTTAAACACTTGGAGGAAGCCTTTACGTCAGAACACTGGCTTGTTAGAATATACAAAGTAAAAAAATTAGACAACAGAGAGACATTGGACCACAAACCTAGAGTAACCAACATTGTACCGAAACAGAAGTATTTGTCAAAGAAGGTGGGTTTCCAGTGAAGTAACTGAAAAGGGGCAACAGAACCTTTCATTTGTTTTTAACAATGAATCACATAGCTGGTGAATTATGTATTTCCACTAGTGAGATCTTTATGGATACAGTTCATATTAGTGTCCAATATCAGACCTGCCTGCTGGTAATTGTTAATTTACTGTCTGCTTAACTTATGAGCATGTGAAGATGCAAGTCTAGATTTTTAGGCAATAATGCTAACTGGAAATAGACATGTCACTGGCTGTTACAAATCTTAAGAATCTTCATGTAACTGGAAGTATAAAGTACATCAATCAATTCATGTTTTAGTAACTATGGCTCACTAAGTAAAATATAATGTGGCAGTTGCTTTCTGAACCTGTTTGAAAATAGTGATGCCTAGAAGTTTAAAAATGACATTTTTGTATAAAATAAATTAAAACTGAACCTTTTGTTGACGGAACTTAGTGTCTGGCTTCTTACTCTCTGAATTCATCTCACCTAATGTTCCATTTTTTTATGCATTTCAGAATGCCTTGGTGTGCTCCTTCATTCAGTATTAAGCAGTAGAAAGGAAGGAGGGGGATGTGGAGGGGGCCAAAAGAAAGAAAAAACATATGTGCACCTTCAAAGCAGAAATGACCCCTGTTAATGTCATGATTATTGTGTGTAAATGCAGGAATTCATCCTGAGTAGGAGTCTAGAATAATGTCAAATGAACAACTTATTTACCTGTACTAAAGCGCAGTGTATAACGTGAGGTTATGGATAGTCCTTAACAGTGGCCCTTAACCAAGGTGCCTTGAGATCCTCTCAAGGGTGCCACACAGTGTTAGCTCTATTAGGTGTGCAAACATGATTCACCAGATAAACCCAGAGATTTTCAAAAAGGAATCTGTAGTGTTAAAAACAAACTGACCTGTTGTGGGCTTCCTAAGCTCTTTGCATCAGAAAAGTTGATCTAGTATGCCCCTGTATAGACTGCAAAACAGATTTTATGGTAGGAAATGTAAAAGGTGCTTGGTATTAGCCAAGTTAGGCTGTGACTAAGCTTGCGGAGTATTCTCTTCAAGTCACTTCACTTATACTGATTAATTTGTCATTTAAAGGTAAGTTAAACTTGTGGAGTAAACATCTCTAGTGGTAAGCAGAAACCTGTTCTGAATTGACACTTCCAATTTTTTATTGTACGACTTAAAAATGGAAGAGGCCAGGCATAGTTTGCCCTCCAAACATCAAGGTGCAGGTTTTAATGCTGACATGCTTTTTCCCTGCAGCTTTGTGTCATCTTATGCGAGAGCAACATGGCTAAGTTTTTTTTATTAATAACAGATACATTAGCAAACAACATTTTGAAAGCTGGTAAAACTAAAAACTTCAGCTTAAGACGGGATGGGTTAAAGTCAACTGGTCAGCATTTAGATAGGATACGTGCCAGTTTCTGTAAGACAACATTTACCCCATTAATTATCAGTAAATCAGACTGTTGGTGTGCAACATTTCATCCTAAAACAGAGTTTAAGTGTATGGTAAGTGTAATGTGTGTGTGGTTTTTAGGTCTACAAGTTTTGCAGGAATTGTATTCTTACCCAGCCTCCAGCTAGCAGTTATTCTGTGCACTTACACTCTTGTAAATGCGACCTGCACCAGCGACCAGTTGTTTATGCACTGTTCCACTGCTGGGCTAGGTAGTCACCGATCAGTGATGAATTAAATACCTGTTTTCACTGATACCACACTTGCCAGTTTTGCCCTACCACTTCTTAAATAGATAGTTGTTTGTTGGCATTGGAGTGTAGCCTGCCAATGCACGTGGCAAAAATAAACCCCATGGAAAATAAACTGTACTTTATGTATGCTAACTCTAGACAAATATTATATTCAGTAAGACTGCTTATACTTATTTGTAACTAACTACTACATTAAAAGGAGGCTGGAGAGCATTAATCAGTCTGGGAACTTTATTTATAAAAACTTGAAATTTTCTTTTCTTTCATCCTAAAAGCTAGGATATTAAATGTAAAATTAAAGTGGCCAGATGATGCCATTAAATGAGGGATGAGGCCTGAGTCTAGCTTGAAAGCTTGCTGTGGCTAGATAAAAAGCTTGGACTCTTCGCTTTGAAATAGTCATGTTAATCCTTGAAAACACCTAGGTTCTCTTAAGTCTGTTTTCAGATCTTGATATTTGCTTTAAGCAAACACATCAATAAGATATAGGAAGAGTTCTCGGTCTAGTAAGAGCCTGGATTTGTGTTTATTCTACTCTAATTCAGAACATTGGAGTATTAGTGTTAGGATAGAAAAGGCTGAACCTATTTTCTGATCCTCAGATCTCTGGAAGTTTTTACTTCCAAGATTGAAACCAGTAATCTCCGCTTCGCTAGGTCATGTTGCTCCTTGTATGATACCAGAGCTGAAGTTAGGGTGACTTTATTAAACTGCTTCTGCATAAGCACTGCTCTGGAAACAAACCTGTACATGATGCACTTGCAGAAGTGGGTTTTTGTATAACTTAGAAAATGGATGTGTTGGGAAGTGTAAAAGGCGATGGGGCAATTAAGATTGTATCTTGAGTTGATGCTAGTTTAATTATCTTAACTCTAAAATAAATGGACAGTAGTAGTGGCAGACTACTATCTAAATGTATCTTAAATAAGTCCAAGCATCGTGCAATTAAATGCACAAACGTGGGAAAGACTAAAGCATTATAGCTAACTAATCCAATGTATTTTTTTTTCTTTTTAGACCGCCAAAAGGAAGCGTGGCTACATTAAGAATAAACTAACTTTAAAGAAAGGCAAGAGACCCAACAGGAAGACAGTTTAAACACACTGTTCTGATTGCTAATACGAAGCAGTTGTCCTTGAGATAACCAGTCTTTGCCTTTAGCTCAAGTCATGTTTCACAGCAACATGAGGGTACAGAACCATCATTGGTCCAGATAATTGTACAAATTTTTCAGGCAATGTCTGATCAAAAATATTGGCTTATTGAGAACAGCTGTTTTAGATTTGTAATGTGAAGCAAGACAGAGCTGCTGTCCAAGTCTAGCAGCAGATTTTTTTTATTGGTACATATTATCCTTCAAATCTGTTGAGAATTTGGACTGACTGCACCAAAGAACCCTCTAATTTGGTCCTTGGCACATGCATACTTGTCAATTTTTTTTTTCTCTTTTGGAAAAAACTTATATCAGCAAAATAGCAATACGTTAACTGGAATGGTAAAAGGACTGTGGCTTGTGAAAAGACTGGTTTTGCAACATGACATTTTAAACAATTGAGAGATGAGGAATGTGGATCTTTGAAATTCAGCTATTAGAAAGCAGACTTTCTCCCTGGATTGACATGGAATCATTTAAATGTACTTTTTCCTCTTGCTGAAGTTAGTTTTGGACTGGACTGTAAAGGCAAGCTGCCATCTTGCAAACTATCATGGGACTGACTGCCAATTGGATGATGCGGCTTTATAATGCAGTTCAAATTGGAGAAGCTGCTGTGGGTTTTAGGAGGGGGCTTGGTTGGTTGGTTTGTTTGAAGTGATTGCAGCATTGCTGTTTCATACAGCCAGATCTTGCACACTTTAGGAATAAGGGCTAAATTTGTATCCTCATGAAAATCTGAAGCGACAGTAATGAATGCTATTGAGCACCAGAGCAATTGCTGTTTCAGAATAGAAGTTAAACTAGTTTTGGTTAAATGTTTACCTGGTAAAGAAAACAAGTGTAGCCTGCTGAAGGGGGGGGGGGGAAGGAAAAGAAAAAAAAAAAAAGACTTGACAAGTATACAAAATCTCTTTTCTGTGGCTATTAGGAGAGGCCAGAGGGTTTTGCAAACCTCAGCCTGCCTCCTTGGAAGGGGCAGGAGAGGGTTTCTGGAAATGATTAATCTGTTTTTCTGCATTTTATTTTTAGAGTGCTTTATCAGTTGAAAAGCTTCTGCTTTAGTGCTATTTGCTTTGTCTGTCTTTTATACTTTTTTTTTTTTTAAAAGGTGACAGTTTTGTCAAATTAAATGCACTAAAATATAAATGGAGATTGAACATGTTCACTTTCCAGCTATAGGAAACTTTATACAGACTTGAAAATTTTTGTTAGTTCTTTTAATAAAGTGAAAGAAGGGGTTTTGCAGTTTGTTTTCCTGCCACAGGATGTAACTTTTTATAAGAACTTACGCCAAACATCTTGGTGTAAAATGCAGAATAGTATGTACCTTTCATGAAGAAAATGTAAATTTGGAATGTTCCGTGAAAATGTTACTGCTGACTTCTTTCCCAAGGTGTAGAATATTTTTTGATTTATAAACTCATTTTTTTACCCTATTGGTTCTTTTACAGACCAATATTACAGCTGCAACATTTTCACACAAGTAACTTGATCTGGATTTCTGACCCATCATTTTGAGATTTCATTTTACTTTGTTGCTTTAAAGCTCAGTGCAGATGAGTTGTTGACTGTAGGGGGAAATAAAGTTAATTCAAGTTTTGTGTTAAAGGTGTCTTGTCATTCTTCAAGCTGGTTGTAAATAAGCAGAATTGTGGTCCTTGAGAAACGTAAGTCACTGAACAAGGTGAACTGTTTCATTTTCTTTCCACAAAGCTAATACTTCACTGTGAAGCTGCAGCAGCCCCTACTGTCTTCAGCCACCAAGTTCCACATTTAACTTCCTGTGATGGAAGGAGTGGGTGGTTACTAATCTTCAGAGAGCAGCTGGCATCTTGCCCCACAGATGGCTATAGCAATGAATCTCATTTGCAGATTGCAAAGTTCAAGGCATACATTGTCTAAAAATAAGTTAGTCAGTGACACGAAGCAGTCTGAGAAGACCCTGTATTTGGTCTCCTCAACTTTGTTCTAGTGTATGCCTGGACCTCCAGGTCAGATCTTGATGTCTACAGGCAAAAGCAACTGAACTTACCACTGCAGTACCAGCAGCAAAGGATGTTGTAATCTTATAGCAAATAATGTATTTAGCTTTTCTTCTGGCATTTCTGTTGGAAGTAAAGTTTTCCCAGCTGGAGAGCTGCTTCTGTTACTTTCCCTGACCAAATCTTCAGGAGTGACAGCCACAAACATGATCTGAAAGAGATTCCAAGCGAGTCTCAACATCACAGTTCAAGATTTAGCAGCACAATATTATAGCTGCATCTAGGCCTTTCCATCTAACCATCAGCAATTGGGCAGGGTGGGACCCCTCAATGTTTAGCATATGGCCGAAAACAAGCAGAGGAGAGAATTTAGTGGAAGACTGAATTCAAAACAGGTACAGAGAAGGAGCCTCCCTGCTTCTTCAGAGCTTCCTCACATCAACGATTTGAAATGAAAACTACCCAGGGTACCTAGGCTAAGAATCAGTGTCCTTCATCTAGGCTACGAATCAGTGTTCAACCAGCTGACATTGGGTGAGGAAAGAGCACCCAATGTGCTCAGGATTCCTCAAAGCCTGGAGACTGGTTACAAGGCCAGACTTCCTTACACCAGAAGTGTTGTTCTCAGCCCCATGATTCTTTACTAGTGTAACTGGAGTACACTGCACCAAAAGAGCCTATACTTTCAGCATGAGAGAGGTGTGTAATCTAAGCCAGGTTGTGGACTTTGACCACTATCATCATCCATCCACCTCCCTGTTTGTAGTACATGAATGGCAAAGGAAAACTTTGGTGCTTAACCAGGCATGCAGTAAGACTAGCAGTTTTTTGCTTCGGTACCTACTGGTGACCATAATTCAGTTGGCTGATTATGGTTGAGTTGATACCTGTCATGCTTTTTCACTTGGAAGTCCCACCCAGATTCTATAGCAGGCAAATTGCTCCTGCTTAACAGACAACACAGGTTTCCCTTGCTTTATGCTGCACACGCGTTCCTGGAAAATGGCGCATAACTCAAGTTCACATAAAAGGAACTCACTTTACAATGTAACAAATAGGGATATGTTCCACAACCTCAGTTGTGCTGGCCCCTAGACCTATTTCTACCACTTTTACAAGACAATTTTGGTGCTCACCAGCAGCAGAGAAGGGTAGGAGATAAGCTAGTGGGATCCATAGAAGCCATAATGGGGATAGCAACTACAGAAACACGTGTCACAGACGAGCAAGGAGACTATTTTGGCGCACATCGCTCCCACAATGCACCACACAAAGCAGCTGGCTGTGGGCTTCCACCACACCGATCGCATAAGTGTGAATTTACCTAGCATATAACGAATTTTTGGTATAAAAAGGGTCATCACATAGGAGCAAATTTGCACATACAGAACCTGCATAAAGTGAGGGAAGCCTGGACAGGCAGTCCTTGGACTTACGACACATATGGTTCCTGGAAACAGCATCTTAAGTGGAAATGTTGCAACTCGGAACCAATTTTCCCATAGGAAACAATGTTATAAAAATGGGGGGGACTGGTTCCTGAACCAAAGCCTAATACCCTGTTTTCACCAAAAATAACCCAGAATTTTGTAGTCAGTCAATTATAGATGAGTAATATAGCTACATTAATGCATTTATATTGTAAATAACAATTGTATTGATTTGGAAGGACTTCTTTGACATGACTTTGCTGGACTTTTTGAAGGGTTGTTGGCTGGAGTCTTCTCAGGAGTCTTGGCTACAGGTTTTTCTGGAGTCTTGTCTGCTTTCTTAAGGAAAATGTCCAAGGAAGTTTGGACAGATGTTCTCCAGGGAGATGGGCGACACAGCGACTTGTTCGCTGGCATGGTGTCTTATCAGATCAAGTGTTGTAAAGTCAAAACTGATGTCAGAAAGCTGAAACAGGGTGTCAGTTTAGAAATGTAAGTGTGCAAAGTTGCAAGTCAAAACGTTGCAAGTCGAGGACTGCCTATACTAAGTATGTCAGGACCTTATGACAGGCGTTTTGAAGTGCTTGTCCCATCTATTTTAAGTGGACACTCTGTAACATCACATGTCAATTTGACACCCTATCCAATATGTAAATTCGCAAGTAAAAGCCCTGAATAGGCGTGCCCTGTGTTCAGTTCTGTTGTTACAATCGATTTGCACATTTTGTAACTTCCAAGACAAGTTATCCTAGTCTTGAGATGAAGACAGTGCCAGGTCTGTCACCTGTTCAGGTTAATCCTTAGAAACAATTTAAAGGATTCCTCAGCCCCCAAGTCTGCTGCAGGTGATGGTCTGAACATCAGCTCCAAAGAAATATCAGCATCCCCATGAAAACATGGCAGTGTTAAACTGATAATGGTGACCATAGATATATTCTTACATGCATGTAGGCAAAGGCATGTGCCCTTCTAAACAAACCAAGTACAATGAAAGCAGTGTCTTTTATGTCCTGATACTTAAAATATCTCCAGACAGTATGCTCATGTTGCTCCTCTTCCAAATGTTTTCTACATCAGTTGCACAGAACACTGAGCAAATGCAGAAGATGGTAATAGTGGTGCCATCAGACTTGTGGACTTAACTTGTGGTTAAGTCCACAAGCAGCTGTAACATTAATATCCTCATTGAATATCACTGTGAGGACAGCATTAAGGCCTATAGTTTAAGTCTGGACCTTTGTACCAAAAGGTACAGAATTTGAGGCACATCCGTCTTCACAAAAGAGCAGTAGCAAATCTGTACCATATTCTTGCTATCTTATCTACTGCCAATTTCATTTTCTGGTTCTCTTGCACGAGCATGTGGCAGTGGTATATAAACCTGAATGGCCTTCAGCAAAACTATCATACTAGGTTTCATAAATTCCCTCAGAGATATCTTGCAGATATTGCTGTAATCTAGGCCCAAAATGTGTTGAAGTCATTGTATTACACTTGTCAGAATCCACTGGTCATAAGAATATCAATTTCTGTCACTAGAGCTGCTTTTTGCATGTTTCATCTGCAAAATGTCATGCACTCTTTGGTATAGAAGGAATAAATCATTTTCAGGAAGTCAAGACTATACACTGGCACTGGAATTTCTGCCTGCTGATCAGCATTGTTAACTGGTCAATTAGGTCATGCATCCCAGTCCAAGAGTGCCATCTCCAGTCCTCTGCACAGACCACACATTCTTCCTTACCTGCAGTTATCTAGTGCTGCCACAGTCAAACTTTCCAGCCTCTCCATGTGCCGCGATCCAATTTAAACAAAGCTTACCTGGTTGGATATTGTCTTGTCTGCTGAAAAACAGGATTCAAGTGACAGCAGCTCATGCATCAAAACTGATCACGTAACACGTAGTTGAAGGTTATAGAGAAGTGTTGTACATGTGTACAAAGGACATCCAGATTTGAGCAAATGGTGCCATTTTAACATAATGGAAAGAGAAAAGGCATCCACCACTAATTCAAATAATCATTTATTGACAGTGTTGTCAGTTTGTAGTTTTAATTCACAATTATGAAAGGAAGGCTAATCAGAAGTGACTGCCAGATTTCAAAATTTTAAACAATAAAAGGTAGAAATCTTTTTGAACAGTTATACCGTAAAGAAAAGTTTGCATAGGTTCTACAGGTGTGCACAAAAAATTAGATCTGAAGTACATCAAGATTTACATTACAATTCAAAGTGTACACTGGCTATTCAAAAAGAAAGTATCCACTTGGAAGTGCCAGACACCTGTTGAAACAAGCTATAGAATAAGGCTTGTTTACTGCTCAATCTTCAAAATCCTCTTCTACAGTATCCTCGTATAATATATGGAATATTTTTTTCTGATAAAAATATGCAAGACACTTATCCAATCTCCCTTTTGGGATATGTTGATGATTCAGATCTTTCAAGCAAAAGTATTTGACCTGCCTTACAGGATTGATTTGTGGTGGGAAGGAGGCGGAGAGAGAAGAGAGAGCATAGCATAGTAACATCAGCAGTCTTCACAGCCTTGAAAGCAAAAGGATTTATTTGAACACGAATAGAATGTTGTCATCATGCACTAACCACCATGCAGAGAAGAAAATCCCTAAATTAGAAGTGCAAAATTATTTCAACTCCTCTTCCAAACAGCGACAGAATCTTTCTAGTATGGATAGTCATGAGCAAAGCTGAGGCAGACCTTAACTTTTGAAAAAATGTGGAAGGTTTGATGTTGCCAGTTCTTTGGTAAGGGTGAAAGCTACGATTTTGAGAAAAGTAGACTATGATTCTGATCTATTTGATTTTGTACTTTAGAATGCCCCTTGTAATGATACCATCTTCTAACTCTGTAATGTTTCAGTTACTTACCAGACTAACCTCTTTAAAACAAGAGTGGATCCAATATGTACGGGTTCCTGGAGACCATGAATAATATACATCCTCCTGAAGATACTTGTTAGTTCAGTTCTTACCATTTTGACATAATTACAGAGTGTTAACTTAGCCTAAAAATAGAATTTTCCTTACAAAACAGTGTTTCTTAAAACTTGGCCTGTACATTCTACAATTATTAATAGGTTTCAATATGTGTAAGAAAGACCCTAGCCTTTCACATGCTGAAATAAGTATATACAGGCAAATATAAAGTAATTTAATTGGGGGGAGAGGGACGGGGAGGAAGGGGACCACACCTGATTAAGAATCTGAAGCGCAAAATTGAAAGATCCTGTAAATTAAATGCCAGTTCCAAATGACCAATTAATGGTGCTTTCCATTACCGATCAGTAACCTTAACAGCCACCAAAAAAAACAAACAAGAAACCTTGTAAAATGCAGATGTGTACGAACAGATACGAGCAATACTTCAATCTGAATATATTTGTCTAGTATCTGGAAAGTGTGAGCAATTGTATTAAGAATGTAGGCAAAAGGCACAAAATTAATATTCCATAAAGTCAGGCATTCATGCTAGTGTGTTAGAGATACCGTGATGTTTTTAAGGAGCACTGTAAATAAAAAAAAAAAAGCACTGAGCAGAAGCCAATCTGGTGTCAATCTCGCAAAAATCAACACATCTCACTTTTACAGATAGAGAATGAAATGCAACTAAACTTTAATACATTGGTTTTTGAAGTTTACTTTCTTATCATCACAGTGGTTACCTTACAAAGTAAAATCAACTATAGATTTTTACATTGCAAAACATTATGGCCCCACAATTTTTAATTACTGAAGCCCTTATTCACCATAGAGAAGTAAGTTCCCACATCATTTTTTTTTGGCGTAATAGATGTTTTTTATTAGACAGCTAGACATAAGTTCGCTTTGAGAAAGCAATCAACTGAACCAAAAGGGAGAGAGACCGGAGAATAAATACAGAACTGCTTGGAGCTTTAACACAAAACTAATGGACTTTCAAGTAAGTCGGCCCAACAACACCGGCCTTCCCCACCATAACCACTGCCACAGACAGACACTCAACCATTTCCAGGGTCAATGGGTTGAAAAATGGGCACGCAAAATATTACGCATCTCTCTGGAACACAAACTAACAGGACACCTAGGACTGGAATGAACAGATTTCTTATGATATTGCTGCTTTTTATAAGGTGGCAGAAAATGCACATTTATAAGTGACAGGAAGTCATGCTAGTAAACCAATATCCCCGAAGAGAACGTTGGTCAATGCATCATTCTTATGTGAAATTTTGAATTATTTAGCCATTGTTCAGACTCACCAATGGCCTGTGGGGGACAAGTCACATTTTATAAGTGCAAAACATTTTTGGCAAAAGTGAAAAATAGAAAACCTTAAACTGTACTAATAAAAAAGTATTCTGAATACCAACACAAGGCCTGATCCTGCAAGCACACCACAGGGAACCCTCATTGACTTCAGTGAGAGCTCTGTGTACTACCACTTAAAGGAAAAGGTCTTGAATCACTGTTAGTGTGTATAATATATATATATCTATATATCTATATCTCAATACATAGTATGTGTGTGTACTCACACACACATACAAAATGGCTCTAGATTAAAACTTGAGCTTGTAGCTATTTTGAGATGCATCATTCACAGTATATAGCTTCCCACTTGTATCTTGTTATAACTGGACTTATGACACCTGAAGGTTATATACTGCATCATTTTAATGCCTCTAAGATGGTTTTGTTATGAGACAACAGTGCACTTTGTCTTGTCAATGGGACTTCCAGAGGGGATTGAAGTATATCCAACCATCGCCCTGTAAGAAAATTAGGGAGATTTTACAAATGAACTGTTAATATTTTACACACACACACACACACACACACACACACACACACACACAGCCACACCCCAAAAATATTCAGCACAAGTTAAATTTAACAATATCAGCTACAAAAATAATCACACTGATGTCTGAAAATACTGTACATACTAGAATGACTATATTCAGGATGCCTAAAACAGAAAAGTATAAGAGAGCAGTCAGATTTTCCCTTGCTGAAGAGGCTGTTACAACCACCAAGGGCAGATCAACTTTAAAAGTTAGTTGAAAGGGCTATTATTAGAAAAGCAGATTTTAAAACTGGCCTGAATATATATTTTTTAGTTTTAAAGAAACAGTGGATTATTAAACATCCAGGTATGCCAAGTAGACCTGGTTCGAAACATCTTGCTTCAACCTCCATAATAATGGAAAAAGGCCCAAACATTTTGGGTCATATCCTACCCTCCATCCACAGAAAATGTTTCACTGATCGTAGTGACTGCAGGCAAAGCTGGAGGTTAACATTTTATGTAGAGATGATATTTCATGAAGTAACTGTTGATTAAATTACCTCCAAAGTAATTATTGGAGGTTGGCCTTGAATTTGTCCCTTTCCCACTGCCACATCAGGGAAAATACATCTGGGAGGCAAGCCTCTTTGCCTTCTGCCCTCCTCTAACCCCTTCCCCCTGCAGCACCTCATTCCTTCAATGTCAGGCTTTGTTCTCCATGAGCACATGCAAGTGAAGGGCATATCTGAAAACACCGACCTCGAAATAAACAAACTTGTAGTAATCTGCATATAGGCAAATTACAGGCACCCAAACACTTAGTTCATCAAGAATTGATACATTTTCCCTTTTTTGAAACTGCTGCAAGTTTTAACATAGCTACTCCATAAACACACTTTTAAGAAGTACTTTTGTACCTACTTATATATAGTACAGACTGTGTGGTATTAGTCCAAACCCCAAAGGCTCACAACTTACCATATAGTTCACTGGCTAGGCCAGAGCAGAGTCAACTGTGTTTCGTCATGGGGACCCCATAGCTCAGCACAGCTCAGTACTTGTGCATGCTCCAGATATCAACCCCCTTCATCTTAACTTTCAGATTGAACCCCCCCCCCCCCCCAACACACTAAGGATCCATGTGCTAATTAGCCCCCACTGGAACCAAATGTTCTTGTCACAAGTCCTGGGATCCTCCTAAAATGTATATGCAGATGAGGTAGGCAACCTGGTCTGGCTCCACTTCATAGAGACTGGGGTTAAGCTTGTTTGCAACAGGCTGAGAGAGGGGGCAACAGAGGGATTTTGGGTGAACTGTTTGAGGCCCCCTGATGTTTGCCAGATATTTAAGGCTAGTGAAAAAATAAGAATCACTGGAAATGGGAAAGAAAGATGCAGCTCAGCTGTGGGAGTGAAAAGGAAGTTGAAATGTATTCAATGTTGTGGCTCACCGTGACTTGAAAGAGAGAGTTGGCGCTGAGGGGGACTGCACACAGTGGGCACTCCTATATATTTTATTCAGAAGGGCTGCACTAACCTGTCCTTGTGATACATTCCCACCAGTACATATGCCCAATATGGGCCATGTGAGAAAAAAAAAAGGGTTTTATAGTCATACTTAGTGTTGGCTGCATTTAATCAACTTCATAGTTGGTTTCCACTTCTGAGCACATGTTGCTTTTGGCAGCAGTTTAAAGGATAGACAATGTATTTAATGAGGTTTCCTTTTATGTGAATCTAAGATGAGGGGTGGGGCTTTTTCCCATTGCTGACTCAGGGTGGGGCGGGGTATGGGGGAAACTCATCCTGTATTCAAGTAAATATAGTATGTGGAGAATCCCAAAAGTTGCTAATACTGGCAGTGAAACCCAGCACTGAGCAATAAAAGGCCTGTGAATTGCTTCTTGCTGCTCCCACTGTGCAAACATGTTGCATGCAAGTGATTTTATATACATAAACAGTTCCCATAGATTTCAAAGATACTATTCATACGCAGAAGCACTGCAGTACTGCACCTATGCTGGCATCTGTTGCAGTGCTTGGTTGGTGTCTGAAATGACAGCCATGTAGCTACAAGTAATCGTTTTAGAAAAAGCCAAGTAGGAAGAAGGGTTTCTACGCATTGCTAAAAATAGTATTCTAAGCGTTATTCTCTATCAGATCCATTATTTCTAGGAAGTGACAGGTTTTTTCTAAAAATCTCTACCGTTCTTTCATGTAGCTGTTTTAACATTGAACTCCTTTGGGTTTCTGTATGCTAGCAGAACAGTAATAAACAATCAGCACTGCTCAGACTATATAAAGGAAATTACTAACAGGATACCAAATGCTCACGAAGTAGAAACTAAACCAAAACATCTATTTTAGTTAGGCATCTAAAGCCATGTGTAGATGCCTCTCATATACACTGATAGTCAAATTCCTGGCTGATTATTCTCAGCTCCCATTCACTTCAATTTACTGGCTGCCAGGTTAATGGATAGCTAGCACTGCAGAGAATCAAAGCTACTTATTTAATGGCCAAAAATCTAAACAAAGGCTAAGCAACCATTCTTCAACATCTGGGCTTACCTACCTCCAACTAAAGGCAGGGTGAAGGAAAATGAACAATGGTTACAAATTCTATTTTTAAGAGCCAAAGTTTGGAAAGATCACTGCATTTCTAGCCACATGATCACCATGTTATATAAAAAAATTAAAAAAAAAAAATCAAAAGCTGATTCTCACTGTTTGCACTAACACACTTCCAATAGACAAGAGGCTCCATTACACTCTATCTTAGTCTCAAAATAGCAAAGAAATGCTTTGTGGGATTCACATTACCTCTCTGGTAAAGTATTTTGGTTTCCAAAGAGCATTAATAGCCACACGCTGCCCCTCCTCTACTCGCTGCCTCTCCTCAAGGCGGTGCTTGTGCTCTGTTGCTGCATCAATATTGCCTTCTTTCAGACAACTGGTAACGTGCTGCCAAAGATGCCTGAGTGATCGATTACAGACAACACACAGACAAGATTGAATTAGAGCTCCTCAGACCCAACAAAGCTCTTGGTAGGGTAAATGTATAGTGGAAACTTGCTCATCCTCTTTACTAGAAGAGTGGTGCATTCTCCATTCACTACTCTACTTGTGCCATTATCTAATATTCTTAATTATCACCATCTAATCAATCATTTTCATTACACTTTAGATACCAACAACAGATACAAACAACTACTACTACTACTTGTGATTTAATGTATTGCTTATATTACTTAAGCTTAAAATAATTTCCTGTAGAACCCTCCCCCCATCCCACCACCACCTTTTTAGCAAGCGGAGGTTCTTACAATCCACCCCATCAAACCATGGGTCAAATTTCCAGAAGGGTTCTGCTCCCACTCTCTCACTTTATTTAAATGCCTGAATGGGAGCTGCTGAGTTTTCAGTTCTTGAAAATTTGGCCTTAATATCTGCTAATCATTACAGAGTTTTGATGGCTACTTTTTCCAGATCTGGTATAGATTTATAAGGACACATTAGACCCATTGGCACACTTAGCAGAGGAAGGGCAATGCAGTCTTTTTGCATCAATATTACTTTAAAATGCTTTTATTTCTAAACAATTTTATTAAAAGAAAAAGAGAAAAATATTGATGACAATCTCTACTAGGGTACTAGAACCCCAGAGGTCCCTTCCAGTGTTGTATTCTTACACTTCTTGCAACTGTTTTCAGTTAGAATCAAATTTGGCCCTCACGTTTGATAATATCCACATAAAATGTCCCTCAATAGCATGGCAACCAAATATTACATAGAAAGATTGTGTGATGTGCAAAAAACATTGACTAAAAGCTGTCATAACATTTTAATGTAATTTTCAATAGCGTTAAAGTGAGCATTTTATTTTAAAAGCAGTAACAGTAAGTGTTCAGAGACTGAATGGTAATAATATACTTGCTGGGGTCATAAACATAAAACAAGCACCAGGGAATTATGGGCTTCTCTCCCTCACAAATTTTCCTTTGGGGAAATATTAAAACAGAAATAACATTTTAAAAGTACAGCTTATTGGCTCTGGAAAGATCCATGTATCCATCCAGAACTATATAATGCAAGGGGTACACTTGGTCATAAAGCTTGCTTACTGTTTTTATCTCATCCTCATAATCAGAATAGTATCATGCCCATATTCTCACCTTGATTCCAATGGTCCTTGTTTCACTATTGGTCTAATCTTTTTTGGGATAACTGGCAGTTTGGTGGTGTCAATCACTTTGGTTTCTCCATTGCTGTATGTAAATTCCAGCATGCCATTCCACTCCCCTTGTGCCTTACAAACAATGGTACCGGTGGGATTGTGTTTCACTTCTGCTGTAACCCTGATTAAAGCAAGACAAACATGGTAAAATATGCAGGTTATTTTTTTGCAACACATCAGAAAGGTTATCAGTCACTAGGGTTCCAAATTAATTTTCAAAGTTCAAGTATATTCTTGCATTAATCGAAGTAAAAAACAGGAATCTGATTTCTGTCCCTTAAAAAAAAAAAAAAAAAAAAAAAAAAAAAAAGCACACGCAAAAAAAAAAACCCAAGCACAGGCCTCACATGGTAAAGCTATGCTGATATTTCAGCCATACCTTCTAATATTTTTCCTCCTCCTCTTCCAGATATAAGTGAACTCAGTTGAATTAAGAAACAGTCAGAGGTTTTCTGCTGTAACTGAATTTTGTTGCTTTGGTGTGGTTATGCAAGAGACCCTTAATATTACATTAAAGGGATGTCAAGATTGAAAAGCACAAAGCCTGACCTACCAGTACCTTAGTATTATTATAGCCAGGTGAGAAAAGTGAATGCTACTCTGGTGTAAATATTTATCCCATTGGCTGCTAGGGACCTGGCTTACAAGCCAGAGAGGGATCATGCTCTGAAATGGTCCCTGCAGACAAACAGCTGCTGGAAGATTTGGGATTTATTTTGTAAACAACTAGCAAATACACCAGAGGTAATTTTGGCTCTCTGCCTTCTGTTAGTAGAGCAAACCAGACATCTGAAAATGCACCTTACAAAACTTCCCAATTTCCCCTGCTCGATGGTCTCCACCTACTCCACAGCACCTGACAATACCACTGTGCACAAATGGTCAGTGCTGATATTTTTGGCAACAGTCAGCCATTTGCACTTGTGTTTTCTGTAGGTATACAAGAGCATGTAGATGGAATTAAACAAAAAAGAACCTGCACAAAATGCCCCAGCCCAATAGGCTTCAGAATCCTATCAACATTATGATCTATTCACAGGAGAGCCAAGAGGGAAAGA